GAAATTATGAGAAAAAATTAACTTTGATTTTAAAATAATATTCTTGCGAATATATGACAGATATTGCCTGTTTTATTCATTATTATTATATTATCTATGTTTACATGTAAGAATAATAGTAAACACAATAATAATAACTCATTATGTTTCAATTTTTCACTCCAAAAAAATGTCTATAGTGTATCTAAATCTAATATGGGGATATATAATTTTATATGTGGCCCGCGGAGTTATGATGCATTTCCAAAGTGGCCCGAAAGATCATTTGGGTTGGCCACCCCTGGTTTAAATACTACTTTGTATCTGAGGATTTTTTCTTTTCATATTTTATCTTCACAGTAAATATACTATGATTCCCAAGAAGATGATGTTTACTTTAGAAAAAATATAGATTTTTAGAGGTCAACTCAGTGTTTCTCAACCTGTCAAAAGTCTCATTATAAATATTAGGATATATATCCCATTCTGTTTCTAGAATTTTATTAACACTTTTTCAAATATGAAATCATTCGCTGCAAAAGAAATACCAACTTTTTTATACGACCCATTCTTCAGTGCCTGAGTATCTGCGGGTCCCAACTTTTTGTTGGCTCTGATCTATAGACAGTTAGTAGGACTCCTTGGACGAGTGATCGGCCCATCGCAAGGCCTCTACCTGTACACAGGACAGCACAACAAAGAAAGACACAGACAAACATCCATGCCTTGAGTGGGATTCCAACCCATGATCCCAGTGACCAAGCAGCACAAGGCCCAAGCCTCAGACCATGCGGCCACTGTGACGGCCAATATGCAAAAACTAGTCATTATGAAAGGTTTTACATTGGACAACTTGTTCTATTTAAAAAAAAATGTATTTCATATTTACTTGACTTGACTCTAACCTATGACAGAGCAATTCAGATCGTGCACGACATAAAGGTTTCAATTTTTTTGCAATTGTGATGATTCACACCTTACAACTAAGGAAGAGAATCAGTGACCTATCTTACTGAAAAAAAAGCTTGCTTAGTCTTTTATTTTTCCTCTATTTACTATACCTTTTTTGAAATGTTTCAAATGGCTGCCATTAGTAATAGATTTTGCTGCAGCTCAACCATCGCGTATTTCTTTATGTCACATTTTTTACACTATGCTATAATCTTTAGCAATTTTTGTCACATATTTCCAAATTTACCACATAATTTGTTATCTATCATTGTTATTTTATTTATTTATTTATTTACAAGTTCCAGAAATCCAATAGTGGATATAGAACACGTCACAAACTCAAGTATAAAAGCATAAAATACATACATTAAAGAATTACATCTAGACAAGCAGCGTACTAAATTCAAGACAATATAATTAGTATTTTTATTACAATAGTTATCCAATTAAGTACTCATCCACAGTGTAAAACGAGTGAGTAATTAAAAAATTCCTTAATGCAACCTTGAACTTTTTAAAATTATTTGAGGTATTCTTAACCTCTGTGGGTAATTCATTAAATATCTTTATACCCGCATAGTGAACTCCTTTCTGATAAATAGTTAAATTGGCTTGAGGTAGATACACATTTTCTCTCTGTCTAGTATCAATAGTATGAGAGTCAATGTTTGATGGAAAAAGAGTTTTGTTTTGTAATACAAACAATAATAAAGAAAATATATATTGTGATGCCAACGGTAAGATATCTAATTCTTTGAATATATTTCTACACGATACTCTATTGCTACATCCCATCATTGTTCTAATTGCCTTTTTCTGAAGGAGAAAAATAGTGTAACTACTAGATGAATTTCCCCAGAAAATGATGCCATAGCTCATTAAGGAATGAAAGAAAGCATAATAAATTGTCTTTAGTACTGAAATAGACATATATGGTTTCATATTTCTAATTACATAGCAAGCCTTGCTCAATTTTTTAATAAGTAGATCAATATGATTCTTCCAAGTTAATGCACCATCAATCATAATTCCCAAGAATTTAGTACAGAAGATATTATTAATGAATTTATTATTATAACTTATTGTAACAGTATCTGACATTTTTCTCTTAATTTTAAAATTAATATAATGTGTCTTATTAAAGTTTAGTGATAATCTGTTCATTCTAAACCATCTATTTATATTTTCAAATGTTGCATGAATGTGTTTATTAAAGTCGTTTGTATTAGAATGAGAAAATAGGATGCTAGTATCATCAGCAAAAATTATAGGTGTAGCAAATTTAGTTATTATACTGGGTAAATCATTTATGTATAAAAGAAACAACAAAGGTCCCAATATAGACCCTTGTGGAACTCCATATCTAACTTTAAGCCAATCCGAGGCTGTATTGTTACTGTCATTAGTATGTAATACTGTTCTAATGTATCTGTTATTTAAGTAAGATTCATAAAGTGCGTGATCTTTCCCATTGATACCATAAAATTTAAGCTTAAATAACAAAATTTCATGATCAACACAATCAAAAGCTTTTTCCAAATCACAGAAGATGCCTCCCACTATTTGTTTGTTATTCATGGCATTTAAAATCTCTGTAGTCAATTTATAGATTGCATTATCTGTTTTTAATCCTTTCCTAAATCCATATTGTTCAGTACTTAAAATATTGTATTTATTGAGATGATCCAAAATTCTTGAGTACATTATAGTTTCAAATATTTTTGAAAAAGATGTTAAAAGTGATATAGGTCTATAATTAGACACATCATATATATCACCATTCTTATATAATGGTTTTATTAATGCATATTTTAATCTATCCGGAAATACTCCTCTCCTTAACATTTTATTGCATATATAATTGGTAGGTGAACTTATAAATGACGAGCTTATTTTTAAAATCATAGGTGGTATCTCATCATATCCATGCAAATTTTTTAGTTTAAGGGATTTTATTATTTTGTTATTCCTTGCATACTACAGTTGTGACATCTGCAGGACAAAAGAATAGGCACAAAAACAATTCAAAATGTTGTAAGAAGCTTAAACACTTCACAAAAACAAGCAACCATTACACACTATTTCTATAAATGAATGTCAGTTGTGTTAAAAGATAAAGTAATTTGTGATATTTTTTGAGTCAAAGTTTACGAGAAGAATGAACTGCACAACTAACAAATTAAAATTTAAAGATGGCACCAACCAAATGCTGAGAAATCCCTGGAACTTCTAATTATTATATCTGATTACATTTAATGTTAGCGCAGAACAAAGGATTTATCTTACTCATCCAGTTTTAAAGCATTTAATGAAAGAAGTTTTTCAAAGATGAAACAAATCAGAAAATTCCTGCAATGTTGTAATGACAACAAGTTTTAAAAGTCTAGCAATTACGTTGACAGAAAATATTATAACATTTGGTTGCAGACATACAGGTTTGTTGTCATGTTTTAGTTCTAAACAATAAAATATAACAACAAAAATTACATGCTCTGCTTCTCCACTTCATGACAAATATATTGCTAATATATGAACAGTTGCTGGAGCATTTCTTTTAAATGAGAGCAATTTGCATAAAATCACAAACAATAGAAATTTCAACAACTTCTAGTTTCAACTTCATTTCTTTATGACAAAATCCTTCTTTTGCCACAATTTCTTGATATTCCAACTACGTAATTTAAAATTCTGAACTATTGCTGCTTTTCCTAAATGATCAACAATTTGGAAGAATTATGACCTTTTCAATCATTTTTCTGTTATCTGACATTTAACTAACATCTGATCAGAAGATTTATGTCTTCTGGGTTGTTGCGCCGTGTAGTATGGTAGATGTTTACCAACATTTTGGAGGTCATATGACCTCCAAAATGTTGGTAAACATCTACCATACTACACGGCGCAACAACCCAGAAGACATAAATCTTCTGATCAGATGTTAGTTAAATGTCAGATAACAGAAAAATGATTGAAAAGGTCATAATTCTTCCAAATTGTTGATCATTTAGGAAAAGCAGCAATAGTTCAGAATTTTAAATTACGTAGTTGGAATATCAAGAAATTGTGGCAAAAGAAGGATTTTGTCATAAAGAAATGAAGTTGAAACTCACATATGATGCGTGGGCCTTGTACACTTGGACAGTGAGACTGTGGGTTCCCACTTAAGGCTTGGATGTTTGTCTGCATCTTTCTGTGTTGTGTTATCCTGAGTAAAGGTACAGACCTTGCAATGGGCTGATTACTTATCCAAGGAGTCCTACCAAATGTCTAATAAATCAAGAAACCTCTAAACACCCAAATGGAAAAAATGTAAGGTACATGCACTACATGTTTCAGCAATATGCAATCTTCAAGTGCTCACATACATTTATGTCACTAATGTAAGATAAAAATAGGTTAATGATGTTCAATGTTACATGTTTTCAATCCCTAGTATCCCTAGTGGTTATCACAAGGTAAAGAATTTTGGTAACCACATGATCAATGCTTCACAGTCAGTTTTCAATTGTATTTGGAAGTTAAAAGTAGTATCATAATTATGGAACGTACGAAAAATTATTAAATATCTGCCAGCGTGAAAGGTGATGTCACAAGACCTTGTTGATCCCCTTCAGTATGTGCGTATGATTGGTAGTAAGCGGAAGTACCCAGTCTAAAGGAGTACTCAAACCCTTAAACATCAATTTCCTGATCTTGTTATTGACAGTGATTAATCAGAGTTCAATTGGCGAGGGATTAATCATAAACAATGACCCGAATAAACGTATCTATCAGTATCAAACCTCACCGAAGTACCTTTATCAAATGAACAAGAAACTACAGCACGAATACAAATTAACTGATAATCTATAATAATCTCATTTTAAACAGTTAATTTATAGCAAAGCCACATCAACAGTCAAGGTAGGGGGCTTTTAAACACAAACTACTTAGCTATTTACACCTATTAGTTTAACGTATTTCTGATATATTAATTAATATATCCCGTGTATGTTTAGGAAACTTGATGATTGCTCTTTATCAGTCTATAAAAACATCAAAAGCATTCCTTCACATCTCTAACTTCTTACCTGCATTTAACAAACAACGTCAACGACAGATGAGAGATGGTAGATTTCCAAACCACGGGTCGAAATTAGTGGCGAAGTGCTTCTCCTGCCATCTAGGGACGAACTTGAAATAACATAAAGATTTAATTTCAGTGAGAGCGTTCAGTCCGCAAAGAACTTGTGTTTCATATTAATGGCTACCTTGTGGGACATACGGCTGTGTAGTCTAGTAGTAATTTACTACTGTTTCACATGTAATTGCGGGTTTCCATCATCAAGTCGATAGGTATCTTCTACCAAGCCTTCTTCTTCTTCTTCTTTAAAGTGCCTATCCGTTCCGGATGTTGGCGATCAGCATAGTAATTTCAACTTTACTGGCTGCTACTTGAAACAGCCCGCTAGTGGACATCGAGAACCAAATTTTTAGGTTTTGAAGCCAGGAGATTCTTCGCCTGCCAGGTCCCCTCAAGCCACTCAGTGTTAAAACCCAGAATATATCTTCGTTCTCACTGCTGTGAGAACCAGATAGAAGTAATTGTACCCACGTGGGACACGTATGGCAGTGCATAGTTTCCGCGCTGAACTGTGAGAAAGTCACGCGTTCCGGATGATCACTGAATTTCAAGTGTGCCATGGACAATATAAATGAAAACACCTAGTACTGGACCTGGACTGTGAAAGACTACACTAAAGATAAAAAGTAATGTACGTTGTGCGTGATTGATTTATATAAACTGCTTACGACGTATTTCTTGGCTGGCTTTTTGACTATATTATTTTATTCTTCACATGGGCAAATGCGTTGGGGGGGGGGCATGTTTTTGGCTTTGATTTTTTCGTAAAACATTTCAGTCTGAGATATGAGCTGCCAGCGAGGTAATGTTAAACGGACACGGCCCCAGAAGTACAAGAATAAAACTGCTTTCAAAAATGACTTGCACGATACTAGTTCTAAAATTAAGCAGGTTAATAATATTGAAATTGTGAACGTATGTGTAAAATGTAAGACTATATTAGAATGGAAGATCAAATACAAGAAGTATAAACTGCTGAAAGCTCCTAAGAAATGTACCAAGTGTGAACAAAAGACTGTAAAAAATGCATATCATATGATGTGCATTCCCTGTGCTGAAATGCAGAAAGTTTGCCCAAAGTGTGGGAAAGTTGAGGAAATTGTGAAGAAAAACGAATTTGACCAGGGGAAAATGGACACTCAATTACAGAAGCTCATCAGAGATTTACCAGAAAGAAAGAGACGGACATTTTTTCGTTATATATCACAAAACGAAAAGACAAGTGGTAAGATTCCTTGTGCAAATTATACAAGTACGAAGCATGACTAACCATATTTATTTGTTCCATCATTACTATAGAGGATAACGTGTACGAGATTTTGTTTACTAACATGTACGACAGTATTGTGTAGGTTCTTAATCGTTTGCAGTTTTAATGTTGTTGTATGGAATAATGCCACTGAAGTTCTTTGACTGGTGAAAACCCTATTAATGATATGACAGAAATTGTGGTAGAGTTGGCAGGCCCTCCTATACTATAAAATTCATGCAGTGGGCCTCATGTAATCATTGAACAAGGGACCAGATTCCTTGTACAGATTAAGTTTCATTCCGTAAAGATGCATGAATGACCCTAATGTTTCTCTTGAATGTCATGTCATCCCTTGTTTCAAATATTCATAGCTACATAACCTTTGAGAATCAAACCCATTTTCATATGATATTTGACTGGGAATGAAGATGGAAATAAGATACTGAAGCATTGACATGAATTTGCCAGACATTCTGTATGCAAATACCTTTTTGTAGTTGTGGCTGGTGATGGTTTAGAATTTTGTGGGTTGTTGTTTGTTTTATTTCAGTAAAGCATATGTCAGCAAGTTCAATGTTTGTTCACCCCCCTTGCATGTGACTGACTTACTCAGCCAAAGAGATACTCCCATTACTGTGCTGTCCTAATATGAATATTTGTTTTCAGGCAAAGAAGCCAGAAACACTGAGGACACCAAAGAAGAGATGATGGAAAAATTTAAGTCATTGAATTTAGAACCAGAAGAAGAGGAATACACTTCTGGTGATGAATCTGATAATATGTCTGAGCACTCTTATTGAGGCAAGGGTTAGTGAAGCTTGCATATTATGGAGATTGCTGTTTTGGGATGTTATACCATGTAGTCTGGTATAAATTGATTAACATTTCAGAGGTGATTACCACCTCTGAAACGTCAGTGAATTTCTACCAGACTACATGATGCAACATTCCAGAAGATAGCCATCTTCATATTTATCTCCATGAGAGCCTGATATTCCATTTTGCTTCTTGTGGTTCAAAGAACGTCATGTAATGCTGTGTTAAATAAACAAGGCTATTACTCAGTGCATCAAAGATCTTAGTGATATGATCAGTAAAACTTGTAGTAACATGGATATGTTGTTAAGCTAACTGACTGAAGTAAACAGTATTGTTATTTTCTTATATTCTTGAGGTCTAAAGGTTTTAAATCCTTGCTAGAATTGCATAGCATGTATAAGAAATTTTCTAAGTCTGAAATAAATTAGTAACACCTTTTTACAGCCTACCAAAATCCTAATGCAACCCTGGTGTGACATAAGGTTGCACAGTGCAACAAGACGAGACCACATAATGAAAATGTTGGGCTTTAAGATATACTTTATGAAGAACATTGTAATCTCTTTGAAACTGGTTTAATGATTCTTGCTTTTGCATAGCTCAGTCAGTATAGTGACTAGCTTCGAGCTGGACAACCGATGTTCAATCCCTGGAAGGGAGCAGAGGATTTGTCCTCCAGCCTCTGTGTCCAGACTTGCTCTGGGGCCCACCCAGATTCCTATCCAATGGGTACCTTGGTCCTTTCCTGGGGGGTAAAGTGTGGCTGAGGTGTGATGCTGATCACTCACCCCATCTAGTGCCAAGGTCAAGAATGAGTAGCAACTATACCTCCACTCCCCTACATGATGTGTTTTGGGACTGCTTTACTTATTACTTATTCTTGCATCTTTAAATGAATCAGAGTATAACTTTATTAAGCGTGGACACTGCTTACTATGCTACGAGTGCTGTAACATGTAAGGTAGTAAGCAATGTTAATATTTAAATAATTTTGTCAACACATTTGATACCAAGAATACATTATTGCCAGTATTCCCAAGATATGATGGTGATAAAAATGGCATGCAGTGATATACCTAGATATTAAAAGAAGGTTTTGTACTCAAACGTGCACAACAAATAATCGTGTAATATTGTACATTAAGGATACAGTGCAAAAGAATGTGATTTCTCTTTAATAGAATTCTGAAACACTACAAAAACATGTTAATAAACTCAAACTGTTACTTAAACCTCAATATGGCATTCATTTTCACATAACTAATGATTTGAGTCACGCTGTTCTTCCACTCGTACATTAAGTGATCTTTTTATGCATGAAGAAACAATTTCAGTCGAACCTAGAGCCATCACATTTTTGCACTGGGCCCTTCAATTGCAAGACATGAACAGCTGATATAACAGTAGAAGTGGACTATAGTGACAACAGAAAACTTTTCTGAGGTGGTTGTGTACTGAATTACAGAAACCCAGATGCACTGGAAAGTCCTTACAGCAACATTCCAGTATATAAATAGACACACAGAGGATTCTGTTGTCTTCCAAAAAAAAAAAAAAATCCATCACTGCAGTCAGATATGGCAGATAATGGTTTACGATTTATTTTCTCAATTCAAGAGTGTTCTTTACCCACAAAAATTCAGATTAGTTTTCATAGTGTTATCACAATATGAGCCGGGATAGCTCAGTCAGTATAGTGACTAGCTACGGGCTGGACAACTGGGGTTCGATCCCCGACGGGGGCAGAGGATTTTTCCTCTAGCCTCTGTGTCCAGACCAGCTGTGGGGCCCACCAAGCCTCCTCTACAATGGGTACCGGGGGGGCGTGATGCTGACCACTCACCCCAAGCGCCTGTATGGCACGTAGCGGGACAAACTTACTTTAGTTTTATCACAATGAATGGACACTTACAGTACAAAGTGTTGTACTGTTTACATGCATTAATATTTTTGTAAACGTGTATCAAGGTGTTTCAGTTGCTAAGCTAATTAGAAAAAAAATAAATTCATTGGAATGGGAATGAAAATAGGTAATTTGGACACTACTCACAAGAAACAAACAAAAGGGAGAAATGTTTGTTAAGGTGACATAATTTGAAGCAAAATGGGGAAAAAATGTAACAGCAGGATAAATAGAAAGAGACCAGATACAGCATTAAGCTAGTAAAACAGTAACAAATACTTACAGAAACAATATATTAAAGGATAACAATCTCTTGAAGGTTAAAGGGAATACAATTTATGGGACGGGTAAGAACTGAGAAAATAAATGCTAAAATCAGAATCACTCAGATTGTGGAAAATAGGAGTTAGCAGGAATTCAACATGAACAGAAGATACACTATGTTACCTTTCTTGTGAAGTATAAATAAGTTGATTTTTGAAGAAGAAAAAAAGACAAGTGACAAACAGATTTTCTAGGAAATGACATAAGAGAAGAGAAAACATACATTGTAAATTCTAACAGTTCCCAAGTTCAGAGATGTGGCTCCACAAAGTAATGTTAATGGAAGTAAATGGTAAAGCTGTCCTCTAGGTTCATTAACCTTGATCAATTGTGTCAAGGTTTATGTTCTGCCCAGCTGACCATGCACTACACTAAAAACTGCTAAATCATAAATCCCAGAGTTAAAGTCTGTCCAGCAGCCTTATTATATAGGATTTTCCCCCCTCTTCCAGAACTACATATAAAAGGTTAATCACCACATGATGATATATGAGGGAAGGAGGTAGAACACCACACAATCCTAAATTAGGTAGATAAGTGATCAGCTTTATGTTCTGGCCAGTTGAGAAAGAGCATAAGATACTAATCAATTCTACAGGAGGCTGTATGAAATTCAGGGTCAGCCTAGATGTGATAACAAACACAAAAATCCCTGTCTTTACCAGGAATCAAACCTTGGTCTTTATGGTAGTAAGAAAGTTAAACTTTTAGCACAACTGTAACATGATCTAGGAATTCTGTAAGGATTTGGTTTTTTATTTAATTTTTAAAAACTGTGTAAGTTAATGTCACGCTATAAGTTATGTGTTTAAACTTTAGTCAAGATGAAATTAAGTGTCACTCCCATTGGTTCAGTCAATTTTGAAAGGTTAATCGGTGGCCATTTCAGCATATGGAATCATTATTGCCACCCATGACTTCATGATATTACTACATTACATACTGATAAGTGATTATTTATCTTAACAAACAAACTTAAAAATATGTTTGGAATGGTATACTCTTTGGGGTACATTGATGTTCCAATGATGTGAACCAAGGCCATTTTTACATGATGATTTATCCCATAATATTGTTGAGCTACATATCCAGCAATGACAGTTCATTTTTGCACTCATGTGCAACCAGGATGATGGAAACACAAGTGACCAGACTTGGTGGCCCATGGCGCAAACCTCCTAGAACAGTTGCCAGGGACCAGACCTCAAAAAAGCAAGTATCCTGGGAAAGGACCTGGGTGGTAGTATCATACATCTATTTACATTGTAGCTTCCTGGTCACAACACAAAAATACACTGAGTTAAAACAAAATGTTTTGTGTCAGTAAATTTATTTGAATAAAGAAGTGTTCATGTTCCTTTCTTATTCAAAATTTATTAATCTCCTGTTTGGAGTAATCTAGTTATTCCCGGATGAAGATATGGTTACTACACCAAGTCAGACTCACATTTTGAAGGTATTCGGTTCAAGTCATATTTGGAGATAGCTTTTCTCACTTAATTTTTTTCTATTTCTAGGAGAATTCCAGGATATTACCAAAAGTAAAATAGGTAACAGCATCTTCCATGTATCTTTCTAAGCAAAATGTGTGTCAGGCTGACACATCTTATTTGGCACCCTATAAGCACTGCCTGTATTCATGACAGACCTATGTCCATTTCTGGTTTGGTTCCAGGATATCCATTCACTATCCAGACAAGACACTTTACAATTTTCTGAGCTGTCTGTTGTTACTGACTTTCTGTTAGTGGTTTTGAGTTTGTAGGTTATAACATCTGGTATTTAATTTTATCTGTGATGTTTGCTTCTAGGTGAACAGTGACCTAATAAACACAAATGCAAACTGGTTCACAACCACAGGGAAGGGAAGAAAGTATATTTACTTTATATATATATTTAGGATGTGATAGGTTAAGTTGCTCCACATGTGACCATACAGCCCCAGTAAGCATTTAATTGTTCATATTATACACAATTAAAGAACTATTTCAATTCACAAATTAGCACAACAATATTGCAGTATTGTGCACAAGTCTTGAAAAAAGGCAATTGTTTCCATACCTAGATCAGTAACATTCATGGCAGTCTGTTTCTATGCTGTGTACAGAAATAGTGTTCTTTGGAATTTTTTAAAGCATTGAATTATGAAAAAATACAACCAGGAGACACGCACCTGAGTGTCAATATTAACATTCATAATCCATTTGAATATACGAAATTATTGAATACTGCACAGATGACCCAGACACAAATTAAAAATGTTTAAATGGAATTTAAACACATATAATATATATTTCAATTTCAGCCATGGGATATCACTTCTTGGGTTATTTATGCCCTGACAATTTAAGGGACAGCCCTTGTAGATGAACATTTACAAGCAAAGCTATAGGGCAATTCAAATTATATGTAACTTTTAATAACAGCATATTTAAACCATAATACAACTTGACTTCTCTTGAGGCAGCTGGTCTCACTTCACAAGTAAGAAAAAATACTTGAAAGTTCCAATGATCAATTTCCTAGTTCTCAAGTAATTATTAAGTGTCTTATTACTGGGTTATCTATCCTTAAGAATTGTATATTCAAGCAAGTACTATTGCTCCAACTACCCAAATCTGAAATCCAAGATTGTAAGAAATTATTATTTTTTACTTCATTTCTCTAAAAATGGCATCATATGATTTCTGTGCATTATCAAACAGTTACTTCTGTGTACTGATGGCAGTGGTCACACAGTCTAGGTATGGATCTTGACCACTTGGATATTGGGATCAATAGTGTGAATCCTACTGGAGGCATAGATCTTTGTCTTCTGATGTGCTGACCAACCACACATCCAACGAGTCCTATCACATTATTCAATTCTGAAACCTAATGTGAGGTGACAAAGGTTCTTCAAGAAGCAAGTACTAGAAGTAATAAAAACATTGGTTTAGAAGTTTACTCTGATGGAAAATACAGAAATACAGGGATATTGCTTTGCCTCCCCCACCCCCAACTGCCAACATGGTACTTAGCAGAACAGATTGATAATAATAACCTTTACTGGGTCAATACTGGTAAATACATACACCTGAAAATTATAATGGAATATTGTAAAGAGCAATGAATAAAACTGCACTAAGATGTCTGCTTTCCTCAGGCCTGTGTCATGCCCAGTAAGTCTATGAACTTTCCAAAGTCCCCATTTTGACTTTTCCCAATACTGGCCTCTTGTTCTTCCTGCAGTTCTGCTCTAGTTGTCTTGTATACATCTTGAATCAGTGTCAGCTACTAACCCCATTCTATGGGTTCTTTCTGCTCCATTTTATGTTCTATATCAGTACAAAGGAACCATTCAATGGGTTCTTTCTGCTCTTTATTTTATGTTCTATATCAGTACAAAGGAAACATCTTGGGATTTCTAAAGCTCACTGTTCTTTGCATAAAAAAATATGGAAATTTGGATTTATTGTTACAAACCTTCTGGAGGAAAGCAGAAAAAAAATTGTGTCCTCAGCCTGCCAAGTGATTTGTCTTATACAGATTTTTGTTGAGAGGTAGCTGTATTTATTTCAGGAAACATGTATTTGTCTGTGTAACTTCAGGTTTTGGGTGAGAGCCAAGTCAATTGTTTAATGTTAACCATCATTCGGCAAACATTGCAGATACACGCAGGTCTGAAGGCGTCATATAGGCTACTCCAGTCATGAAGACCTACGATCAAAAATGTATTTGTCTGTATTCTGATGTACCACGATGTCATAATCTTATATAACTGAAGTATTATGGTCATATTCTTCAGCAACTGTAGATAGTAGGTAAGAAATTACATATTCTGACCAGGAAATGTTACCGAACAGATAACCCATCATATCACATCTAACATAATTTAGGAATGGCTCTTATTATTGGACACATTTATGACCTGTTGTGTTGCATTTGTAGGGTTGTGACAGAGAGAAGATTGGTTGGCCATCGACAAGAGGTTAGTAGAGAAGTATTTAAGTGTTATGAATTTTGTTATTACTACAAAATAGTTGTTGTTTTTCTGGATCGTGACACCATGTGGACTTACATAGATACCAGAGTTTTAGAGATACATATAGTCTCCATCTTCAGCTCCTAAGATAAAGACAATATATCTCCACATCACAAGCCAGAGGAACAGCATCAACATGTTCACAACTGTGAGAAACTCAAATCTCACCTGAAATAATTCTATTATTGTTGCTGGTTAAGAATATGTTTTAAAATCTATTGTCATTAATTTGAATTACTATAAGTATCTTTTGTTCAAAGGTTTGTGGCTTGAAGTGGTCTCCAGACAACCAGAGCCTGGCCTCTGGTGGCAACGACAATCGCCTCCATGTTTGGAATCTGCATTCGCTTTCACCTGTCCAGACTTACACTGAGCATTTGGCAGCAGTGAAAGGTTTGTTATCGCCATTTATAACAGATTGAAATGAGATTCTATGAAGTGAGTAAATATTGTTTTTATATTACCATGTGTTTGTGCACTCTGTGCTGCAACAAAAATCAAGCACTTAAAACCAGAAGTGATGGAAGCATCATAATTATGCCCATATGTGACTTCTGTCTGCCTTCCATTAATTACAGTTATTTACACCATCATTTTTGTGGATATATTCCAAATGTGAAATAAAAAGCAAATGATGTTTTTAGATCATATTAAAAAATATATTGATCATGGAAGAGGTTAATTGAAAACAATAGGAGAAAATATTGTTAAATGCCAACATGCCATGTCTACAGCATTGATTGAAATATGCCAAATCTTCTTTTATCTGTTTGTTAATACAATTTTAAACCAGAGTAGTTATCTATAAACACTGTATTTAATTTCCCTTTACTGTGTGCTCTGCTGAAACAGAAAATTCAGAAGAGCAAAATATAACTGATACAAGTTCATGGTTTCTCCAATATGGTGCTCATATTCTTTGGATGTCATTGATTTCACTGTTCTGCGCAGCATTTATAATTTGCAAAGTAAATTTATTCACATTTCTCATCTCTGCCTCAGCCATTCTCTTTGTTTATTTTAATATTCTATGCAGCATGATGCATCATACTGATCATTTGGACACAATTTATTAATGTACTCAAATTTTATTTTACAGCTATTGCATGGTCCCCGCATCATCATGGACTCTTGGCTAGTGGTGGAGCTACAGCTGATCGATATATTCGTTTCTGGAACACACTCACAGGCCAACCAATGCATTGTGTAGACACTGAATCTCGTCTGTAATCTTACCTGGTCAAAACATTCCTCTGAATTGGTAAGTTCTTTGCATATTGGTGTGGTCTGCAGTTTGTACTTGGAATGATAATGCTGATAGAAGTAGGAATTCTATTTTATATTTGGTACAGGCACCTCCTTTACAATGGGTACCGGGGTCCTTTCCCGGGGGTAAAGCCGGCCGGGTCGTGATGCCGACCACTCACCCCTATCTAGTGCCGAGGTCAAGAAAGAGAGGAGCTATACCTCCACTCACCCCAAGCGCCTGTATGGCACGTAGCGGGACAAACTTTACAGGTAGTGAGTGAAGTGTTTGTTACCTATCTGATTAAACTGAAATATATATTGTGAATGTGTTAACACCCCAAAATCTAATCCACAAATTCCATTTGCTGCAGACAGAATTTATAAAATCATTTGTACTTGGATGAAGAATGCACTTAATGTAACCATAAAATTAAAACTGTGAAGTCATCTCCACTTGGGACAATTCCTTACCTTTACTCAATGTTGGCAGTATAAACGGGTCAGCTTAACATTCTATGGTTTCATTAGGTTAATACTTGTATTTTACAGAGGAATGAACAGGATTTTCATTCATCCACTTTTCACAGATTCTACTCACAAACTGAAGTTTTGAATTTTCCAAAAATAAAACCTTGGGAAAATGAAGTATGCCAGGCCCCACTGTGGTTCAGAGCACACATTAAACTGTAGGCCCCTTTTTGGTTGGTGTAATGGAATCTGTCCTGTGGTTGCTCCCACCTGAACAGGAGATTCTAAACTTGCCCAGGGTTGGCAGAGGTCTGGAAAGATCATCCCTGGAGATATTAGTAACCAGCCACATTTAAAAGGATGTAGAACTGAATTTTCCTTTTTCTAGAACACCTTTGCTGCATATAATGTACCAGTACATATTTTCTAGACATGTTTGTGTCCCTGCAGAGCACCTAATAAGTTTTCTTTGTCCATTCATTCACATATAACTCTAGAATGACTGAATAGATTTTCTTGATGTTTGGAATGGAAATTATGCTGTTTGAGGCTACTCCATAATTGTACTTTGCAATCTGTAATACCAACATAACATGCTACAAGTTGTGAGGTAGCTGGATTACAATCCACAGTGACCCCATTAATTATCCTCTGCAATAAATGATGATGTCATCACTTGCTATGCTGTCATTGTTGACACCCTTATCTATTAATTGAAAATGGCTGACAAATTTTCATGGTATTTGGTGTTGATGTTATATCATTAGAAGTAATTACAGACTGTTACTTTTTTCCATTTCTTATGGAAATTTAATAGTGTTGTAGGTTAGCACCCATGGCTACTCTCAACACCAGATACTCGTGTGGAAATATCCTAGCCTGATACAGGTTGCAAATCTCACTGGCCATTCATATAGAGTGCACTGTCTTACTGTCTCCTGATGGAGAAGCAATTGTGAGGGGTGAGACTCTTCACTTTTGGAATGTGTTCAGCAAAGCTCATTCATTTGCTGAAGTGTGCAGTAGCAACTGCTAGGTAACAAGTCTATAAATGGCAAAGCCAACATCCATACTGTCATAAAAACTGCATTTCC